TATACTTTATAATATATAAATATATATACAATGCAGGGGAATCTGAGGTCTCTGCTACATACCCAGAGCCATATTTTAGACTTCATGAACTCCTGGGCACATCTAAAAGATCAAAACCTTTTGTGCAATTCCCATTACTTGTGTCATATGATAATTTGAGTAAAAACTTTAAAAAGCATCATGTTATCATTTCAGGTGAAAAAGTGGACCTACATTTTAACTGTACAAACCACCAAACAAGACACAAGAGAAATGGCTTCATGTTTCCTTTCCCTTCCATTCCCTTTCAGGGCTTGTTCACACGACGTCCAGATTCTGTCCGGACCAGATCAGTGCGCTCATGCACCCAAAATCCATCCCTATGTATCACTATGTGTTTTATGGGCTACAGTTCTCACGAGCGCAGTCCGTTCCAGTCCGGACAGAAAAAATACTGCATGTCACATTTTGTCCGGTCCGGAAATGCACGAACGCGTCAAAAACACAACAAAAACGCGCTGAAACGCACTGCAGCTAACATACTGACAGCCTCACTCCAGGTTTTTTTTCAAATGGAACACGTCAAAAACACACTGCATGCACAGCACTGCGTCTCCAGATCTGGACCAGAAAATCGTGTGAACAAGCCCTCAACAACCCCTGCACATCTTTCCCTTGTACAGTTCTCTTTCTGATTCAGCCATAAATGACCAGAAGTGTACAGAAAATGGAAAAGGATTCAAAAAAGTTATAACTTTTTGTACAGTTTGAGGTTTACCATTACCTTTAGTTAGTACAACAGTTCTACAGCCATAAAACTTCAATATTTGGGACATAATTTTGCTCATAACTGCTTTAGTTCCTTACGGTTTAGTTGCTTACTGCATGGCATTCAGACATTTGACAGAATATTCTTAAAATGAAAAAATGAGAGTATTTTCTCTTGTTTACCATAATCATACTTAAAATTGTTCTGCTGCTCACTATTTCACACTCCGGCGTGATCTGCAGCCTCTTAATTTCTGTAGTAAAACTCCTACCTGTGTTCCTTGTTTTTAGTAATTTGGGGCCTAAAATTGCTACTTGAAATGTTTCTGCTGGTGGCCAGTTTTACACTATTGCATCATCTACGCTCTCCTAATTCTTGTAGTAAAGTCCCAGCCTGTGCTCTTTGTCTTTAGTAATTTGGGCATCAAATTTCTATTGAAAATTGTACTGCTGCTCACCTGTTTTACACTACTGCGTCATCTGTGGTATCTTTATTCTTGTAGGAAAACACTTACCTGTGCCCCTTGTCTCTAGTAAAGATGGGCCTAAAATTGCCATTTATAATTGTTATGCTGCTAGCCAATATACTCTTTAATATATTGGTTCATGTAGTAGAGCCCCGGCCTGTTCTCTTTGCCTCCAGTAAATTTTGGCCTAAATTTTGTATTTTAAAATTGCTCTGCTGCTGGTCATAATCACCTTTTTATTTCAATTAAAGGATTTTCCCTAAAAGTCTGGACTTTTCATGTATCTTTTATTTAACCTTTTAGTGAATTGGTAGGGGTACAAGTACTCATTCACAAGGGAGAGGGGTACCCTGATGTGAGTAAGCCCCCTGCCCGCACCCCCACAACCAACGACCCAGGGCTTGTGGAGAAGATGCCCTTGTCCCCATCGGCACAGGGACAAGGTGCTTTTCCAGGGGTGCCCCTGGAAAAGAAACCTCTCAGTGCAGAGGGCATGTGGCCTGGTATAACATGGAGGGGGGGGGGGGGTG